GCCCCAAATCCTCCCAAATCAATAGGATTTAGGTTTCTATAAAATCACCATACTTTTTCAACTTTATAGATTTTGAAATCTATAAATTTGTTGTGAACCAAACTCAGAAATATGATTCATAAATAATTCTTTATTTACAATTTTGCTCCTGTCAGATTCAATTCATATTCCTATTCCATAAAAAGGGTGAAACAAACACCCCCTACATAAAAAGGTATTTTGAGATTTCAGGTGAGTTTAGTGTAATTTACCAAGAAGGATTTTCTGCAAAAGTTATTAGGGGGTTTAGAGTGATTTTGAAAGTTCATGGATCTCCATTAAAAATTATTGAAAGTCTACGATGTTTGTTGTAACTAGGTGGAATGCACGTGCAATGCACGTGGTCAAATATTATAATTGTTGATTTTTATTTTATGTATTTACTATAATATAGTTGCAAAAAGTTTATTATTATCATAATATATTAAAAAGTTTCAGATATTTCAATATATAAAATCTTGTTGGTTTTAACATTTTACCTTCCACATAATTAGTGAAGTTTAAAGTCTTAAAATATGAATGATCTAAGAGCAATTTAATGATTTCGAATTTTAATTTTAAAATATTAATGATGTAAGCACTGATATCTAAAAACCTAAGCACCAATATCTAAAAAACTATTATTATTAAAAAATATATAACTTGAATTCATCAACGTAAAATGATAGGTTTATCTGGTCATAGAGGATTTTGTTTAATTATAAAGAAATCACTTGCGTCTATTGTCTACTTCCACTTTCTATTATCTGGTGACCGAGTATTATAGATATTCAAAAACTTTTTTATAGAATTTTCAAAGTTAGAATGTGCAAATTCAATCAAGAAAGAAGCTAAAGAGTTAAAAGAATCTAATAACACTCATATCCAAACTGTATGCTTCATAAATGTGAGACATAAAATGAATAACTTAATTTATTTTGTTAATTAATTTATTACAAATCATAAAGATAAGGAGAACCATAAGGATCACATAGTCATCCCAAATAAAGATTAAATATCTCTCTGTGAATTTTGTAGCAAAATTTTTTCAGAGATACTGATAGACTTGCAATAAAATCCACTCTTATAAGATTAATGTCACATGTGTCTTAAATTATGCTTTGTTTAAGGGTTATTTTTAGAAAATTTCCCCTCAACTATGTGGAAATGTTAAATCCCCCCCCCCCCCCCCCTCAACTATTTGAAATGAGTAAATGTTTGTTTATCAAATTTGGGGTGTTATAGTTGATCTATCTCAACTTCAAAATTTTGATTTAACCTTATAAACTTTTCTCAATTAACCCCTCAAAACTAATAACATTGAGCAGAATTCATTATGTGATAAGTACTTGACTTGAAAAGACCAAAATATCCCTCAACCATAAAAGAATTAGTTTGGTTTTTTGCTAGATGAAAGAAAAAGTGAAGATTTAGAAGTAAAAAGAATTATAAATTAGTTGTAATCCTTTTATTATCGGTTGAGAGCTTCTTTTAACTAAAATGGATTTCTTTAATAGGGCATTTTGACAAAATCACTTATTAAAGTCTTTTACATTAAGGGGCTTTGTTAAGAGATGTGTAAAAGACCATGAGAGTTTTTATAAGACACGCTAAGTCGAAGGGTGTTTTCTAAAATCGCACCAAAGTTAAGAATGTTTATCTACAACACCTCTATAGTTAGGAGGCTCTGTCAAATTAAATTAGTTAAGTGGTTTTTTGAGACATTCCCCATACTTGAGAGAGTTTTCAAAGAATTAACTATTCTTTTAAATTTAGCTCAAATATTTTATAAATCTATATTATTACCTAATTTATAAGCAATTTCAAAATTTTAAGGGAATAATGTAGAATTGTTAGAGATTTAAAATCAATGAAATGATATCTAAATTACCTTTAAATATTGCTCTTATAGGCAATATATGAAACATTGGCCGATATATCGCTCTATAGACTGATATAAAAGGTTAAATACTTTATCTTAATAATATTTATGGTTTTATATTATTTCTTTTATTTGGATATTTTTTTCTCATATATTGATCATTATCGAAAATATTGGCTGGTATAACAAAATCGAGTCATTTTTAATTTGATTGTAAGCTTGGTATTATGTTGTGTTTGGAAACCAAAACTAAAGCACAAATCACAAAAGCCACAATTCATATCCCAATCTCTCTACTCTCAGCTCTCCCAAATCTCAAGCACATATATTAACGCAAATTCTTATGTTGAATATTCATCAATATCTAAGATTATAGATTAAAATGTTGTATTATGTATGAGCATTATCTCATATGACACCCAGATATTTTTACATAACCCCGATTATTGCAATCCAATATCATGGATTTTATTTGTCTAGCATTTATATGATGCCCAACACTTTATAGTAGTCCTCCGAAAGCCTCTTCTAAAGTTTTCTAAGCAAAGTATATAAATTCAGAAATAATTCAAAATCTTAAGATTATTCAAAATATGATGCTTTAATTTTTCCATATTTCCTCTAGTATATAAATATAAGCTAACTCTTTGGCCTCATATTATATGATGAATATTATTTATCAAAGGGATCACATACTATTGCTTGTGGTTAACAAATGCTTTAAATCTTTATTGGCTTAATTAAATTACATACCTTACAGTTTATAAAAGTTTCAATTACATACCTTCATTTGTATCTTGTTGCACTTAAATATCCTAATGTTTTTAAAATTGCATGTCTGTACTTTTTATACGCAAGAATACTATTTGTAATTTTCCTATATGAATATAATGATATAAGTTTAGGATAATTCTATATTTTCTACTCTTTCCATTAATAATTTATTAACATGCAATTATCTATTAATATATTATTAGACATTACTAATAATTAATATGAGAGTTTCACAATCACATTAGAAGTTTTAGGGACCAAGTTAGACAAACTTGAAGTGGCATATAATATGATTAATTAACAATAATGATTAATTTAGTTTAGTTAGGATTAAAATATAATATTTAAAAAATAGGGGTTATATAGTCCATAGAAAGTTTTTTCTACAACATCCTCTTTTAAAGGGAGTATGATTCTAAGCGAAGTATATAATTTCATTTATAATTCAAAATCTTGAAACTTATTCAAAATATGATGCTTAAAATTTTCCACATCTTTCGTACTATATAAATATAAGCTAAGCCTCTGGCCTCATATTATACGATGTATATTATTTATCAAAAGAATCACATACTATTGTTTGTGTTTAACAAAGGCTTCAAATCCTTATAGTCTTAATTAAACATAAATAGCTTACAACTTACGAAAGTTACACGCATATACCTCCACTTATATCTTAGTGCACTTAGATCTTCTAATATTTTCTAAAATTGGATGTTTGTACTTATGTACGCAAGAATACTCTTTATAATTTTCCTATGTGAGTGTCACGATATAATTTTATAACAATTCTATATTTTGTACTCATTCTAAAATAATTTATTAACTTGCAATTGTCTATCAATATAGTATTATGCATTATTAATAATTAATATGAGAGTTTTACAATAACATTGGAAGTTTTAGAGCCAAGTTAGACAAAATTGAAGTGGCATGTAATATGATTAATTAATAATGATAATTAATTTAGTTAATTTATGATTAGAATATAATAACAAAAAAGAATAGAGACAATATAGTCAATAAAAAGTTTTTCCACACCTCCCTCTTTTAGAGGGAGTATGATATGATTTACCCCCACAAACTGCAAAGTACACTCTACAGTGACGAAAAATGACTTAAGGACCCAAAATATGGGACCAAGGGAGGGGACAGGTGAGGTGTCCCCTCCCTATTGCATAATGAGTTAGCCACTCATTATGCAATATGAAAGTGACACCTCACCTGTCCCCTCCCTTTGTCCCATATTTTGGGTGCCCGTAGCAGCACTCCTACAGTTACTACACGCTATCGATTCTGTCGCTCAAGTTTCTCACGACTCTTCAGTTGTAATTCACGCCAGTGACAAGTGGCAAACAGCACAAAGCATGCATTCACTAAGGGGGTGTTTGGTTGCATTGTTTTTGAGAAATGTTTTCTCAAAAGTACTGACGTATGGCATTTATGTAATTAAGAGTTTTCTATACATTTCTATAAACTGTGTTTGGCTCCAAAAAAATTTACAGAAATGTTTTCTGTAAAGTGTCCAAAAGTACCAAATTTTATGGAAATTGATTTCCTTCTAAAATGGGAGGAAATCTCTTGGAAATCTGACACATTCATTATTTAAATAATAAAACTCATTAACTCTTTTCTACAAAGTTCTCACTTTTCTATAAAGTTGGTGGTGTTTGGTTACATTTCTATAAATTATAGGAAATGTTGCTATTTTCCCAAAAGTTATTTCTCATTTTCTTGTTTTGAACCAAACAAGCACAATACAAAAAATAAGAAAATTTGTACTTTTTAACTTCTCAAAACTTTTCCTATAATTTTTTTAAGAAATACAAGGAAATCAAATTTAGGATGGAAAACATTTCCTATAATTTATAGAAATGTAACCAAACACACCCTAAGCTACAACTCCGGTCATTAATCACAAACAAAACGTTCGCTGTATAAACCCCAGTAACGCCTCTTCAGTCTTCACCCCTCTTGATAACCGTACAGTGTGTTTGGGAGAGAGGACTCAGAGAAGGGAATGAACGAAGAGGACCTTCCCTTCCAAGGGAAAAGTTTCCTCCTTTCTCCTTCATTAAACCTCAATTTGTGATGTAACATTTCAACTCAAATTTCCACTTTCCTCTATGTTAAAATTAGATTTCTCTTCCGCTCCCCATCTCCATCTCTAGCCTCCATCCAAACCCCTCCCCCTCTCTACCCTCCATCCAAACAAGCAGTAATGTCCACATGCTCCCCCTCCTCCGCCTCAAAAACCTTAGTCGGCGGCGCTAACCAACCACGCTGCCACGTGGACGATTCAGACGAGGCTGGGCCTGCTTCGCTCTCGAGCCAGCGGAGGCCTTCGACCCGAGGATCTCCCTCTTCGCGCGCATCGAGAGGAATCTTGGCGGCAAGAGCTTCACGAGGTCGAACGTGCTCTCCAAAGTTAAAGAATTGAGGAAAAGGTATGAGGACGGTGGGGCCCTTAATGCGGAGGCGCTTGATGTCAGCCATAGGATTTGGGGGATCGAGAAGGAGGAGGAGGAAGAAGAGGAGAAGAACACCAAGAAGCGGAAAAGGAAGCTGAAGCGAAAGAAGAGGAAGAAGGCAAGTCCTTTTTTTTCCGCTGAAAATTTTATTCTGTTCTCCTTATTCTTTTTCTCCTCTTTTTTTTTTTTTTTTTTTTTTGGTTCTTTTTTTTTTTTTTTTTTTTTTTGGTTGGGGAGGGTGGGGGGTGCAATGCGGTTGATTTCTTTTATAATTAGAGAGAAAGATGTGCATTATTATAAATAGAGAGAGGCATGCGAAGAAATGAGAATGTTGGGAAGAGATGAGAATGTTCTAATGATCTTGTGGATATACGCTTGCATTTATTAGATAAGAAATGAGTGCACAAGCATTTGCGGAAGATTAATAAGGGTTGCTCTTGTTGAGGAGTTGAGGATAGAGTGGGAGAGAATTGATTGAGACGATCTTGTCAACAGAGGCAATTACGAGATGCGATGAGATTATACCTCAATTAAGAAAGATATGATAGTTAAGGGAAGAGATGAGCCGTAATAGAAGTAAGTGTAAGAGTAGGATTCATGTAGCCAAAATCAAAATCTTGGTATAAAGAGTTAGTAGTTTTTTTTGTAGTATTTCTTGGGGACGTAGTTAAAAATGTGATGGAAAATGTTGGTAAGCTTGATACTTCATGAATTTTGCTCATATTTAATTAAATAGTAACGAGAAGTTGTGCAATAGTGTTATGGGGACCGTTGAATTTTAGGGTTGACTTGCTCAAATATTGGTGTCTTTTACGCGCTTTACGACCCTATTGCCTTGGTTGCAGATAAATCTCACCCGAGGTTGTAAAACAAGCAGAATTTTAGAGCTTTAGCTGTTCACGTTGGTTCAATTATCCAAACTAGCTTAAAATTTGCTCAAACTCTATTTTAGATTATCGCACAAACTCGGTCAAGGTTTCAATTGGTCCAATGATCTCATGCTTCTGAAGCTCGATTTATGGCCAAGGGCATATTGGGTTCTTGATGTGGACTTTAAACTTTAAAGTTATCATCTTTTTTGGGATTGCTTTGTCTGGTATCCATATCTACATTTTCAGGATTTGCAAAATCGCACACCCATATATGCGCCCATGCAACCTAGTCATACAAATATGTGAAAGCATTTTTTTTATAGTAGCTTGCACCTGGAAATTAATATGTTGTCTGTAACTTCATAAGTCCATTCCAATCTTGTTGTGAAAAATCCATACCACATGAAACAACTCCTATATGAAAATCACAACATAATATCGCAGGAAATATGAAAATCCAACCTACTATAAGTTTTATGACAAATAGATATGGTGCGTAAATACAGATCTATGAACCATGAAACAACAATGGGACAGTTCTAGAAAAAATAACAAATGTAATGGTAAGATTACTTTGCATGTATGTGTTAGCGTGTTGACTTTCATTCATGCTTGTTAATGTTCTTTACCTATACCTTAAATTAGTAACATAAAATTAAAGGCTACAAGACATGTCATAAAATAAAAACTTCTTAAATTATATGAATGAATACTTACCAGAACAGTCCTTATCCTTTATTGGAAACAAGAAAAATTACATAAGTGTGTCAAGAAATTAAATTGAATTGTTTACTTCATAATTCATGCATTATAGTTTTAACTTTTTTGCTTGGTTACATCTTAAGTAGGTTGGATTGTTTATCAATTTCAAGATATGACTCTGATACGCTCCTTGAATTACCAAAGTTTTGGGTTAATCTGTGTCTGATTTCTAGGGAGGCCTTTTCCCACACTTTTTATTTAATCATCTCTTTTGTAATCTATGTGATTAATTCATTATCTAAGGGACTATGAGTCCTGTATGCCAACAGGTGCTTCGTCATTTCTCCTATAAAAACGTGAAGTAGTATGGTTTTTGTTTTAACTTATAACATCCTAATTTCGTTATTTGTAACCATTCCTGATGTTGAACTGATTAATTAGTTAAACATCATTATCACTGGAGATATGCTTTTTTTTTTAACAAACACTGAAATTCGAAAAGAAAATCTTGGCAGGTTTGTATTTACAAATTACTTAATGTTGCGGACAAAGAGATTGAGAATGAATTACATCCTCAGAAACATTTCCTAGCCATAATGTCCTCATCATGGGGTAAAAAATACAGCCTTCAATGCTGTCAAAGTGGGTCATCTTCTCAAAATGGTTCTTGTTCAAGCAGTTTGTCCAATGACTTCTTTACTAGCAGATCAGGTAAACTAACAGAAAATGTTGACTCGATAGCATTAAAGCACTGCAGTAATCTAGTATTGACAGCACTCAATGATGTTAGTCAAAAACATTGCAATCAGCACGAGGAAGAACTGATAGATAAGCCCAACAAATATCAAGAACTTATAAGCATGTCGAACCTGAATGTAGCACAACCACATGTTCATGACCCAGCCATTATTCTTTCCAATGGGCCAGAAACACCAGCACGCACTGATGAAGCTAATGGACGAAAATTTCGGAGTGAATCTTCTTCCTTAGTTGCTGAGCCAAGGGTCAGGTGAGCAAGTGTATTATCATGTATATAAACTATAATGGTCTTTTCTTTTAGGATCAATCAAGGATAGAAATCCTCGGATGGCAAACATGAAGAATTTATGCGCTTCGGCAGTATGTTTGTGTCCAGAGGAGAGAAGAGTTTCATTTAATTTAGGAAGGGGATTTTTTTTTCGTTCTCTCTGAAAAAGAAAAGAATTGGAAATGCGATTCTCTTTTTTTTGCTTGTGGATGAGCTATTCGTTTTGTTTGTTTCTCTATTTGCAGGCGTTCAACAAACTAGAAAAACATTTTATGGAAACTATAGTCACTTTCCCATGTGGGCACATTGAGAAGGAAAAAAGTTTGGCAATTGTTAATGAAAAATTTGAAAATGATATCACGAGTGGAAAAACTGCAATCATTATGAAAGAGGCACTTCAAGTCTCTAGGAGAAGTGGGAGATGAAAGTCTAAAAATGTCTAATGCATGGGTTCTGCATAAATGATAACTTCTTAGGTCTTACAAATAATTTTTTGAGTAACTGGGCCAGTGCGCTGAGGAATTTTGTTGATAGACAAAATAAGAAGAATATATATCAAGTGGGGAAAGAAGAGGGGAAAAACACACTAGGAGGAGGAAAAGAAGGATTATAAAATGAAACCAACTATATTGGCTTATTAAGGTGCCACTCTGCTCTGAGGTGGCCATCTGCTACGATGTAAGGATATGTTATACAAGAAGGAAGATGACTGTACAATGCGTCTCTAAGTTTACTCTGAAACACCCTCTTGTTCCGTCCATTCCAACTACTAATCTCATTGATTAAGCAGATGAAACGGGATGTTCTAGTGCCAGAACTGCCAAAATTGCGCATTCAATAATGGAAGTTGTAGTCAACAATAATAGGATATTAAACACTAGTGTTATTTCTATGTTATGAATTTTGAGGGTGCTTTTGTAAATTTTTTGAATATTTTGGGTTGAAAAAGGAGAGTGGTCTGCCGGTTAAATGTTTATCCTTTTGTTGAACCCCACTTGGAAACGGTTTAGCAAACATACGAATGTCCCCCCCCCCCCCCCCCCCCCCCCCCCCCCCCCCCCGCAAAGTTTTCTAGGATAATATTTCCGACGTCCAAAGTTTAACTCATTGTTCAACGAGCCCTAAGGGCGTAATAGCATGGAGGATGATGTGATCATCAGACTCTGGAGGACTTACAAAAAAGGTGCATGTGGGATTGTGTGGGACTTTCTCCTTCACTCCCGGATTCTGCTTGGACTGTAATTCAAGTAATCAAACAAAATATTGAAAGTGAATTTAAAGTGGACTGGAAGTGAGAACTTGGGTCTTTTCGCTTTCTAGCTTTTTTTAAGAAGGTCGAGTGAATGTAGAAAAGTAATACTGTAATTCCTTTCCTTCATAGTCTTTCAAGAATGAAAAAGAGTATACCATAACGTTTTAGTTTCGACTTTCTATTACTTTCTTACATTTAAATATGATTCCGATCTGAAAATAAATTATTTTGCCTTTTCCCTCTTACACTCTAGTTTTCAAGTGTTTGTAAAATAATCTTCATGTCAAATAATTTGTCATCTTCTATACTGTATTAGTCTGCCTTTAGAAGCTTGCACAGAAGGTAGACCCCGAGCGTCAGGTCCTTCATCTTTTTCTTTGTGCAGTGAATCTGTGGACAAATATGTTTCCAATCCAGTGAGACATGAATATCCTCGGATCGAAAGAACAGCAGGACCCCACCAGAAGCTGGAGTACTGAATCCAAAAGCTGGAGTACTGAATCGTGTCAGGCACCTATTTCTGGATTTGATGATTTATTTCTTTTTATTTTCAACTATGAGATTGATCCACTTTCTGCCAATTTCTCATGTGAGCATGATTTTTCTGGATATGTACACTAAAGACAACTAATTTTCTTTCTCCTCGTGATGGCCTATGATCGCCAGTTGATGCTGCAGGCAATGGATAAACTTTGGTAGGCGGTTTCTTGATCTTTTTTGGTTCAAGCATCTTGGGACCAGAACTGATGACCTTAGGCAAATAATATATGCATTCATGTCACCAGAATTTTGTTGAGATGTATGGTGTCTGAAAGTTGCTTACATTTGCATGTTTAACGGCGCATGCAATTATCTGCTCAGGAACCTGCAACTATCAGCACAGGAATATATTATGCTTAATGCCCGCGTGGAAATTTTGGTAAGTGAGTGCTCGTGGAAAAAAGAGGCTTAGTTCCTTCCAATTGTACAGGAAATGTAAGATTTTTAGTTCTGAGCAAATTAAGCTAGCATTTGGTGCAGCTGAGAGTTTTCAGGCTGGCAACATCATATTTAACTGCTGCTGGTAGTATCTGACTGTAAGGGATTAAGTTGTAAATTGAATCAGGAATACAATTTTTAAACTTTTGCTTATTTCTAGAGACAGAAGAGCTGCCTATACTTTGCTGCTGTTGCTTTTGAGAATAATTCTTGTACGTGCTCTATGGGTTACACATAATACTCGTGCATATTTTCTGGGTCGATATTTTGAGATTTGGAATCATGTGAACAAAATGTCCGCCCCCAACGTATCATATGAAGGCTCCACTACAATCAGGATAATGGGATTTAACGGTTCAAAAGCTGAAATTTTAGTTGGTTTTCATAGAGAACTGTTATAATTTGATTATCTTTTCCTGTTGTTTATCAAATTGGTCACGCCTGTATATCGTTTCACTTGGAAAGTAAAAAACGAATCTATACTGATTTATGTTATTTTTATGAATGGATTTTCATCTGTTTATTAGTCCGCAAGCTTCAGCTCTAGACCTTATTGTTAGCAAATTTTGTCCGGAAAAGTTAAATTTCTCGAAAACCCAATTTTTGCTATATATTTCACAATACTTACACTACCGTTGGATTTCTCTTTGACAAAAAAAAAAAATGTGGCGATCATAATCTATAGCCGCTCACCAAAATCTAGATCGTTGTATGGTTGACATGTGGCACGTTATAATGCTAAATATAGTTTTTGATGACGCAATTTAATTTAAAATTTCAAATTAATTTTAAAAATAACCAATTTACACATTCAATAACAAAATTCAGATTTATTGTTATGAAAAATTACTATAAAAACTTAATTATCATATATTATTATTATTATTCCTATTTTAAATTGTCAAATATGCCTAATTTATAAGTAACTAGAGGTTGAATTAATTTAAATTTCAAATTCAAGAGGTACACGTGTATTAGGTGTATTCTTGCTAGGGGTGCAAATACGGATACAGATATATCTCGGATATAGATATACCTCGATAAGGAAAATTCATATCCATATTTGATAAAATCGGATTCGGTTACGGATATATATGCGGATATATAAGCAGATATGCATGCGGATACAAAGCGGATATGTGAAAACTAGATGGTATTGAGAAAAAAATCCATAATCTAAGAATCGAAACTATTATAAGAGTATGACTATTGACTAATATGTATTCAGATATTTCGGATACGGCTACGGATATTTCACAACAAAACCATATCCGTAATCATTTCCTATCGATTATAGATTTGAGTAACCATATCATATCCTAATGAATACGGTTACAGATATTTTTTTCGGATACACACCCCTAATTTTAACTAATCGGCTAAAAAATATCTAACCGATTCTAGAAACAAAAACTGTCAAAACCTAGTTCCCCTTTCCACTCCTTCATTACAATATACTAAATAAATACTATCAAATCTATAACAAATCCCTTTTCAAAAAAAAATCTATAACAAATCAATTCCCTGTATCTCTACCTCTCAAAAAAGAAAAGAAAAACTCTCTACAACTCTCTCATGAAATCATGGATCGGGAGAAAATTCATGTCTTTGTCCTTCTTCTTTTTCGTGATCAATCGTCAACGAAGCAAATCCCTCCAACGCTGCCTTCCTCCTCCGTTTGAGATCAAACCTGAAGTCGTTCGCCACCTCTGTTTTCCATCCTTAGACCATGAACCCCGGCATCTCTCTTGAGAACAAAGGGTTTTGTATTATATTCAACGATGGAAGTTATGCTATTAGGCATGCAATTATATTTATTAATTTGTTTATATTTTGAGATTTTAGCATTTGCTAGTAATATTGGCAAATCTATGATCGATATTTATTATTCACCTAATTATTTTTGGTGTGCAATTATGTTTATATTTATTTTGCAGTGTTTTCAAGATCGGAGGTATATTCTGTGCAACATTTGTGTTTTTGTTGATAGTAACACGTGAGTATAATCTTTACATCAGATAAGATAACAAAGAGAGATGAGTTTAAATAAGAGTTTGGGTCAATATCTGATAGTTATAGTTTTTGTCTTAAAATTAATTCCTAACTTCTATTTAAGGCCCATCAACTCTAGATTGGGCCGGATTTCTCCCCTAACAATGGTATCAGAGCTAAGGTCATGGTCCAAGTAATTAAAAAAACAGATGATCTTCAATATGAAGCCCGAAGGTGCCGGGAGAATCCACGGATGCTATAGGAGTGATAAAATCTGGTTAGCTACCATATGAGTAAAGTGGTGGAAGTTACCACAAATGTTTGATAGTTATGTACTAAATACATGGTCTGGTTAGCCCACGAGTGATGTGGTGCAAAAGTTTGTGAATTGGTTACCCCACAAGTAAAATGGTGCAAAACTTAGTGAATTCCGTGGAAGATTGAATTATAGTTGAATTGAACTATACTCACAAATTAAGGGAGAGTTGTTGAGATGATTAATATGTAAGTATAGTCCCACATCGGATAAGATAACAAAGAGTGATGAGTTTAAATAGGAGTTTGGGTCAATACCTGGTAATTATAGTTTTTAAGTTAAAATTGATTCCTAATTTCTGTTTAAGGCCCATCAACTCTAGATAGGATCCGATTTCTCTCCCAACACTTTCTATAATTAATGTTTGTTGCTTGATGTATTTTCACATTACCAACATTTTTTTATTGAAAGCCAGACATTTTCAACTCTAGCAATTTTTATTTGTCTCAAAAGAGAAGAGGAAGAAAATGTAGAAATGGTGAAAATATTGGTAAAGTTCAGGAAATTTGAAGCAGACAAGCATTTGGGTGTTTGCCGGTCGACCGTGAGCTTTGGCGCGATTGACCGTAAACATGCACGATACAGGGATACGTTCTGGAGCTCTGGTCGGTCGACCGCCAAAACCCTGTAATCGATTTTGGTTTTTGTCTTTCTGGTCAATCGACCGTAACGATTTCGACGGTCGAGCGCCAGTCAGGTTTGGGTCTGATTGTTGTTTTCTGTTCTGATTGGGATTTGTGTTTGGTATAAATACAAACACGATTTTAGGGTTTTTGGGAGTTAAAAAGGGGTTTTGTTTTGTATACAGAAAAGAGAGTTTTCTGAGCAATTTGGTCAGGGTTTTGTTTAAGAGATTTGAGATGTTTGTTTGAGAGATTTTGAGTGAATTTGTAATCTCTATTTGTACTCTCCTTCTCTATTAGTGAAAACTCATCTCCTTCTTGCCCCGTGGACATAGGCAACTTGCCTAACCACATAAAATTAGTTTGTTTGTGTTCATACAGTTATTTTGATTGTGTTTGGCCTTCTCTCTCAGCGTTTGTGTTTGCCCTCGGAACCCCAATGTCACGCCCCGCTTCCCAAAATACCGGGGAATCGGGACGTGAACAAGCCCGCGACGTATTAGATTGAGAAGAAATATATTCTATTTTTTTTTCTCTTTTCTTTTCTTCTCAATCCAATACGTTAAGCGTCTGGAAATAAATACAATGCGAAGCCACATGTCCCCGATCACAATAGCAAGAATATAAAGACAACTCAGAATAAGGAATAAACATATCATCAACAGTGAATCATCCCAGACATAAAATATGGGTCTAACATACCCTTATTACAAAATAGTCCAACTAGGAATTTAGAAATACATAGTCCATAAAGAAAGTACTATTAAACTACTAAATCCATCATCAACTAAAGAAAAGTGCGGTAAAAGAGTTTTAATGTCTAACTACTACTACGGAAGAAAACTACTACGCTTCAGCTGGTTCTTCTACTCCTTCTGCAAGACACCCTTGCTAAGAATCTTCTGGCTCCTGTACGATTCCGAACTGAGGCTGTCCGTCTCCTAAATCTGACGTACACCCAGAAAATAGGAGTACGTCAGCGTGTGGAACACACGGCAAGATCCCCCAAGGCAGGAACAAATACAATAACAGTAATGATAACATATGCGTGGTCAATGCGATAACAGAAATCGAAATAGAACATGTGATGATAGTAATAATGATAGAGGCATGCAACTGGAATACTAATAATCAGAAGAATCCAAAAATCAACCACAGTAACAGAATCAAGCAGGTAGCGATCAGAAACCATACAAGCAAATAATGCTTATACATAGATGGAATTAATAGCTTAAAGATCTACACTCGCAGACGTAGTACGATCGAGGCGAGAATATCAAACAAGGAAACCCTCATGTATATTACCATAGTCTCAAATTGTAGATAATTAAATATTAATCCCTGCATCTATGTTATGGAAGAAAACAACTAGCCATCCTATCACAACTCACTAGTCCCTATCTCACAAGAGCTAACTACTTCATATCATCGGATAACTGCACTGATCACAATCACAAAAATATCCCAACTCCTCAGACTCACCCCGTTGACTTACACAACTTTCACCGCGCCGAGGCCCGGCAATACACAAATATCTCAACTCCTCGGACCCACCCGTGACTACACAAACTTCACCGCGCGCCAGAGCCCGGAATAATCAACAATCACATATCACACAACTCCTCAGACCCACCCGGTGACTACACAAACTTCACACCAGCGCATGAGCCCGGGAAATTATACATCAAACAATCACAACGCTCACATTGGACCAAGACTTCTCACCCCAATTTCTTCGTAATTCCAGCGTCAACTACACACGAGCGTTCTAGCGTCCTAACTGTGTCATCAGGTCACTATAGTCATGTTACTTCTCATGATTTCTCAACATGGAATTATAAATACAATTACACTAAGTGTGTCATATCATAAACGTGTGAGCATAGTCGTGATCACATGCAAGAAACATACGAGAGTAAAGCTACTATTAACGATGTAAGATGAAACTACCATTAACAGATATTTTGCACACGAAAATCGAAATCTCAGTTATTAATTCCAATATTAATTTCCTTTAAAATTATCTCTCATTATAAAAATTCTAAAATAATCTTTTTAAAATATATTTTATTATTATTTATGAACAGTAATACATTTAATTTTATAAATAATTTCTATGATATTTTATAAAATAAACTAAAATACTTTTTTTCTCAAAATAAAATTCATTTAATCATAACAATTATTCAAAATACCTTTTACTCAAAATAACTTATTTTCACTAAATATGTTCCTTTAAAAAATTATTC